GGGCCTTCTTGGCATCCTCGACCTCGGCTCACGGCACTCTCGAGCTCCCAGAGACTGAGGGTTTAGGGTTTAGGGGGGCTTGCTTTACGGTTTTTGCTCAGGAGGTTTACGCTGCAGGTATTCCGCAGCCTCCTAGAAATCCGTGAGTTCCTACCTCCTGAGCTTCGAGATGTCGATACGGCTAATGTAGAGGTTTGAATACTTGCAGTAATCATCTTCCCTTGAGAATCTCAGTAGAAGTCGGTACTTACATGCTTATTAATTACAGTTTGTTGTCTGCATATATCCTTGTACAGATAGACAGATCGACAGCTAGATAGATAGATAGATAGATCGATAGATCGATAGGCAGATAGATAGACAGATAGACAGACCCCAGAACCCAAATGAAATTGTCAAGGGCACGCGGCTACCTCCCCAACCGCTGCCACAAAGCTCACATCCCGAAGTACAGCCGACCGAGGCACCACCACTTGACAGTAGTGAGCTCACAAGTACTTTAGGCTAAGGATAACCAATCACAGTGCGTTTTGTTTTCAGCTCACATGACGAATTTTTGGTGTGTGGAGGGTGGCACAGCCGCTCCATGTCCCACATGTTCAAAAGCTTCACGATGGGGTTAAAGGCAGGGTTTAGGGTTTAGGGGGTTTCGGGTTTAGGGCTGAGGGGGTTTGGGGTGTTTCTGGCGCCGAGTAACTACTCCCTTGCTGCGCTGTCCGGAAACCACCATTTCCTAGTTGCGCGTTCCTGCAAAGACCATAAAATCTACCTTCTTAGGATCCCTGATTATCATTTCACGCCCCCTCCAAAAAAAGTGTAGGTTCTTTGAGGTTAAGGCAAACCCTGCACCAGCGAAGCCCTTTAAGCGCTAACCCCAAGAGGTTTACGACCGCGTGGTCGAAGAACTTGGTGCTGCAGGTGTTGCTGCCGCTCCACCTGAGACACCCCCACAGAGAAGGGTCACGGGACGTAGTACGTAACCCTAACCCTCCAGGTACCTTCTATACAGGGTCCTAGGGGCTCTAGTAGCCTATATAGTAGGTACCATGGGACTTAGTAGAAGTAAGGTTATAAATACCTTGATTGGGGTTATATATATATATATATCAACTTAATTATACCTCCCATATTCAGAAGCCTAGTTACTAAGTCCCAGTGATCCTGTAAGTCTACTCGAAGGATCAGGGGACTTGGCAAGAAGGCTAGAAAGGGTTTTTTCGGAGTACTCCTTGAACTCTACCTAGAGCACAAATCTATGTAGAACCATAGTCTTTACCCTAAACCCCAAACCCCAAAACCCTAAACTAGCCTTTTGTAGGTGCAAAGGGCATCATTTTGCCTACTTGGGAGGTTTCGGGTTTAGGTAAGCCCTTTCTCAGAGGCCCAGGGTTCGACCCAAAGCCCGAGGCCCTACCTTAAGGGTTTAGGGTTTATCGGGTTTAGGGCCACAAATAACCTATCCTACTTTCAAGGACTTCTACAAGACAACTCTACGAAAGAGGGTTTTTGAAAAAAACCTCTTTGCAATAACCTACCTACTTTCAAGTTTCAAGGACTTCTACAAGAAAACTCTACTCAGAGAGCCCTAAAAAAGGTGGGCTTGGTGGGGCCCCGGTAACCCTACATAGCTAGAGACTCCAAAACCCCTTAACTAAGGAATATACCTTAAATCTCATTAGTGGTCCTACTATAGTTTAAGGTATCTTCCTTTAATGAAGGGGTTTTGGAGTCGCTGGGTAGCTAGAGGAGAGACCGGGTCCAAGGCAGGGAAGTTTCTGCGGCGCAACTTTGCCACACACCAGGGCCTCAAACTTAGTAGCTCCCAAATAAGTGAGTTGATGTAGAATAATATGAATGTTTTTGCTGTGCAATATGAAGGCCGCCTCTCCAAAAGTGTCAGCCGTTCTCTTACAGCAGCCTCCTCCGGCTGACTTCAGGCGATCTGTTACATTGTCTTAACAAAGGAGTTGAGATCATGCAGCTGCTGTTCTGCCGAAGTGAAGTGTTCAACAAGCGGTTGTTGCACCGAGGCGAGCCTGAAGCCAGAGGGTATTGATGAGGGCAATCCTCAAATCCAAGCACATTTCAAGCATTCAAACGTTTGCATATTTCCCAACATCTTCCGTTTCAAAATGTTTCCCTATTGTTTCAACCAAGGATTTCGGACCGTAGCTGGGGTCACAGCGTCTCAATTAATTCTAGCGGATTTAGTTTAAGTTTTGTGCTAGACAGACTGGCTGCTTAACATCCAATCGTTGGACGCGCAAGTTTCTAAACACACCATCTCATCTTCTAGACGGAAGAAGCAACATTAGCACTGGAGTTTGTGCCATGTCAGCAAAGGGAATCCGAAGCGCAGCAAAAACCGTGAACGCCCGAAACGCGGTTTTCACGAGTCAGGAGGTGCATAGAATCCGTATCTCCACCCCCCGCTCGTTTGCAGAACCCTTATGTATCCCTCTCCCTGACAGCCCCCTCATCATCCCTAAACCCTAAACCCTAAAACCCTAAAACCCTAAACCCTAAAACCCTAAAACCCTCATCCCTCGTTTCAGAACCCCAGGTCGTCATCAACAACCACACCACCGTGGGTTCCTGGAGTGGTGGTGTTGAGCTCAACGGAATGTGGTTCCGACTCTTGGCCTGATTTTGGGGGTTTTGGGGGTTTGGGGTTTAGGGTTTAGTTACAGAGTTTGGGGTTTAGGGTTTTAGGATTTGAAGTTAGGGGTTTATGGCTTTTCGGCACTCTGAGGGTTTACAGTATAGTCATCCCGAATCCCGAACCCTAGAACCTGCGCACCCTGACCTACGCCCTGAGCGCAGTACTAAACTCTGAACATGGTCGCCCCTCGGCTCTGATTATCATCAGACAAGTACCAGTGCACGTTACCCAGAGACTCCAAAACCCCTTACTTGAGGAATATACCTTAAACCATATAAGGAACCCTAATAAGATTTAAGGCACCTTAACTGAGGGGTTTTGGAGTCTCCGGGTAAGTTCGATGCAGAGTATCCACTAGCTGGCGCAATTTGTCACACAGAGGTCTGAGGACTTGGGTGTTTTAGGTTTGAGGCTTACCTCTACACCCGAAACCCTAAACTAAACCCTAAACCCTACGACTTCGAGCAGAATACTTGGGGGACTTATGGCTCAAGACTTGAAGAAAACACTTAAACTCAACGGCCATAGTTTGGCATACCATGCAACTTTGTCCAAAGATACACGATTCACAGCTTCTTGCCGAGGTGAGGGCTGCAAGACCTACACGGAGGAAGCCTGGATTGACGATTGGGTAATGCTGGCCGAGCGCTACCGCGACAAGGGGCTGCTTGGCCGAGGCGTGAACCCAAAACCCTAGGAACCCTATAAGCCAAACACATATGTAGTCCTAATCAAAAGACCCTGTTCTAATTGGTATTAAGGCCCCTACACAACCCGTATTGGGGGGGGGCATTGCTACACATAGTCCTAACCTTAAATCCCGCGACCCTAAACACTGAGCAGCTCAGTCAGGCCTTGTAGATGCGGGGATTAGGTTCGCTGCCAGTGCAGAGGTGGTCAAGGTGTGGGAGGCCCGGTCATCTGCAGCGTTTTCGTTTCAACCTTCAAGAGCTGCGGAGCTTTCATGCTTGTGGAGCAATTACATCCTTGGGGAGAAGAGGCAGGGAGAGAGATACATTTATACGAGAGAGAGAGAGAGAGAGCGAGAGCCAGGAAAAAGCACAGATAGAGGATAATGTTGTGTCGCTCCCCCCGTGTTTCCCTGTGTTTGCCCACATCTTATTCGAAGCACAGACATATATGCAGTTAAACGCCTACACCCGTGCAGCCACAACAGCATCGCGGTACTTCATGTCACAGGCTTAGCCTCAACGGTTTGCAGTCCCTGGCAGCCCATAAACTTCTGTAGTGTTGTATGTACTTGGCCCCTCAGATCTGCCTATACCAATACCTTCGGGCCAGACAATATACGGTCAAGCTAAGCGATATCAGTGTTTGAAGTTTGAAGTCATTCAGGGTTGGACTTCGGGACTGCACCGAAACCCTCCAACGCAACTCCCTTCTTCGTAAGACAGCTGGATGCTTAAGGTCATAGCCTGTAAAAGCAAGATAACCAACAATACAAAGCTACGTCGGAGACAGTAATCAGCAAGGAATAACGCCAAACCTTAAAGGATACTGCAAATCAGAGTGTAGGTAAAGTGTGCTCATGCCTTGGAACGTGAGTTCCCCGGTAGTACAAGGACTGGACAGTCATCGTGGGTTCGTGTTTCTGCTACCTCAGAACCCCAAATGAGAAGCCGAAATTCTCTTCCGTCTGAACCCAGGTACCATCAGGTCATTGGGTATGACCTCAGAAACGAGGCTGCCTGACGAGCGATCTTTAGTTCTAGTTGATTCTAGTTCTGAAGGGTTCGCACTCATGGTGTCAGTGCCGTGCTTGAGAGACCTCCTTGCAGTTCAACTTTGTTGGCTCCGGGCTGCAAAGCTTGTATTTAGGGTGTTTATTATTGCATCTATCGTGCTGAGGAGGGCTTATAGGACTTTGGGGTTGAACACATCAGAATCCGGTTGCAGAAGCCAGGGAAAGCTACCTGCGTGACTGAAGCCGGAACAGGCCCTGCAGTATCGAAAACCCCCACCTACCGCATAGACAGCAACAAAGGACAACAACAGCCAGCCCTGAACACAACATTCACACAGACATGCACACAGAAAGAGAGAGAGAGAGAGAGACACAGAGAGACCGACAACGACACAGCCACCCTCGACCCCAAATCTAGGACAATCCCTCCCCCAACCCTTAACCCTGGGCCCTGAACTCTATACCCTAAAAGGCCCAAACCCCAAAACCCAAAACTCCAAGCCCTCGACCCAAACTCTTACACACCCTGGGCTCTAAGCCCAACCCCAAAAACTCCGAGGTGCGCCCGACGACCATGACAGGCCCTGGGCCGCGGTGGGGCGAGCGAGAGAGAGGCGCAGGCGCGGCCTCGGGAAGCAAAAAGCCACAGAAACTGGGGTTTACCCATGGGCTCCATAGTCGTTCCTGTTGGGGATTACCTTAGTATAGGATCCTAACTTAAATATAAACCACAGAAAGGTACTACTTTGGAGCCTATGGAGCTCCTCAAAGAGTTCTTAAAGGCATCTACAAGGCTTCTCTATAGCGGGGATTTTGGACTGCTTAAAAGGATCATGAAGATTTCGTAACTAGGGCCTATGTCAAAACTTAAAGGAAACCAGTAATTATTAATACCCCCAAAATTCCCGGTACTTGTGATTATAGTTTGGGTTTAGGGTATAGTTTTGGGTACCTAAACCCGCCCAGAGTAGGTAACCTATTGGCCCAACACCTATAGAAGGCTATATATATATAATTCTCTTCCTATTGGGGGTCCAGAATACCCGAATTCGTCTTGTGGGAGGCAGAAGCGTTTCTGCAAGGGTCGTTTACGGGTTCTACAAGGTTTAATTAGGGGCTTATCGGTGTAATGTCGCAGTCGTTTGCTCGAGAAGTTCCATTTCAGAGCTGGTGTTTGAATCCTATACTTGTTGATATTACAACCCTAAGCCCTAGACTCCAGAAGCGCCCGAAACCCCTCATATCCCCTCAGGCAAAGGCGCCTGCTGCCAACGAGGCATTCCCCAGTGCGCGAGTTTCGATGAATCCGAGCTCTGGAGCCCTTGAAACTTAGGGGTTTAGGGTTGAGCCTGTGGTTTAGGGGTTAGGGATTTAGGGTTTAGGGTTTACTGTGGTTTAGTAGGGTCAGGGATTTTGTTGCTTCCGGGCTTTCTCAGGGACTTGAAGCCCCTTCCCTGACTTCAGGGGTTTGAGGTTTGAGTTTAGGTTCTAGAGCTTACTGTCGGGATTGGGTCTGTGTGCTTGATTCTTAGAGCAAGCGTCCAAGTATTCAAAGCTTGTGTATTGAAGTGTGGAGTCAAAGGACCTGCCATCAGGACCTTCGGGCCAAAGCATTAGTCCTCGGATCGAGCGCTTGAATTCGTAGGGAAAGGTCAGGTATGGGCTTCTGGGGTTTACCGTGCTTAAGTTGGGGCCTGTCTCGTGTTCGTGTGTTCACATGCATAGGGCTGGTTTAACATGTTGGTGTTGTGGTTTCGTCGTTCACACTGTTCTGTCGTGTGTGCAGAAGTGTATGTTTATGTTAATGTGCGACATGTTGAGTTGTAGATATTCATGTACGCAAGTATGGACCGGAGTACATATACTCCAAGACGGAACCCAGCACATCCGGATAGATCTGTATGTTCTTTCATTGCTCTGCACATTGATGAACCGTCACTCGAGCATGTGTGCAGGCAGATAGGCGCACGTGCACACGCACACAGAGAGAGACAAAAAGCAAACAAACACACACACACACACAAACACAGACACAGACACAGACACAGACGGAGACAGAGACACGGACACAGACACAGGCACAGGCACAGG